ATAAAGATGTTCACTTTGAACTTCGTAATGCATTAATTGATCATTTGTGGGACGAGTATACTAACTCGGAGAATTAGTATTATTTATGTATTTTTTTAATTTGTGCTATTTGAACTAATGTAATATTTTTAAATATAAAATTTATTAATTACAATTTTATCGTTTTTATTTTAACATTTCTTCATTAAATAAATTAATTACTAATTCTTTATTATTATAATATCTATTACAAATTATAAATATTGTTATTAAAAATAGTAAATAAAATATGTTATTTTAATGTGGGATCCATAAATTTGGTGTTTTTTTAAAGTGTGATTGGAGTTGAGTTTTTTTTTTTGGTGTTTATGAGCCCACCAGATTTGGTGTTTTTGGTGTTTTATTTGGTGATGAGGTTGGAGTTGCCCTAACCAAATACAAAACAAAAGTGTAACTACCTCTAACTTACAACCAAAATCAAAACGAAGTCGAGAAAAATACAATATTTAAACCAAGTACTTATAAATCCATCAACAAATCAAAACACGATCTTATTTTAATTCAAATCTCGGGTTCCATGAATGGCGCTTGAATGACCTTTGGTTGTTCTTCGTTCTCCTACAATAAAAACAAAAACAAATTAGTATACCTGTTAGTGGTAAAGAGAAATAACTTAGATGTGTAATTCTGTGAAAACGTGTGAACCAAAAAGGAATCAAATTTAAACACATAAATCAAACAAGTAACCAAAAAGGAATCAAATTCTTTAAACACATATTTGTTCCCATTAGATGTTGTTAGTAGAGAAAACATCATCAGACCTTGTACCTCGCAGATGTGGAGGGAGGAGCCGAGGAGCCAGGAGGTGCGACGAGCGGCTGAGGAGGGAGTCGGGGTCGGGACTGGTCTGGAAGCGATGAGGGAGGGATAGCCGAGTGATGACAGAGGAGAAGAGACAACCGGGACTAGGAGGCGAGTGGAGAGCGACGATGCCGACGAGGGCCGGGACTGGGAGGCGGCCAGGAGGGAGTCGACTGGTCTGGATTCTGGAAGCGATGGCCAATGAAGGAGGGAGAGCCAGAGGAGGAGGCTAGGGAAAAGTGAAAACCTAGGTTGAAAAAGCGATGAGGGAGGGAGAGCCTAGAGGAGGAGACACTAAAATTTGTATCTTTTATAAATTATATTAAAAAAATCATATTAAAATCACATTAAAACTATATTATAATATTAATTGATTGTTATTAATTTTTTATATTGTATCTTTTATAAAATATATTATAAAATTAATTATATAAAAAATATATTTGAGTATCTCGCGAGCCTATCGAGTCGAGTATCGGATAACTCGCCTCGACTTGTTAGTATGTCGAGTCAAGCTTATTCGAGTCGAATGTTGACCGAGTCGATCTCGAGTAGTTCGCGAGTTGTCTTGTGTCATTTGCACCCCTATTCACGAATGCATAATTAAGTGATTTGATGGTTATTTTTAAAAGTGGGAGGACTAGTTTTATAAAAGTAGTTTTTTTCCCGTTCAACTTTTATTTAACGTAGTTTCTAATACATTTGCCAATGATACAGGCATTTTCTCTGGAGAATTAGGGTTCAGGCATAGACGGCGGAGATGCTGGAGTTCTACAAATGTAGTAGCAACTCAGTGGAGTGGAATCCCTCCCCCATAGTCGCTCTAGCCACTAGCATCGACGATTCTCAAGTTGCCGCCGCTAGGGAAGATGGCTCTCTAGAGATATGGCTCGTATCCCCTGGTGCTGTCGGTTGGCATTGCCAACTGGTATGCTTCTTATGCTCATCTTCACCTTCTTCTTCTTGTTATCATTCAGATTCCAAAGTGTTATTTTCATAACAAATTCAGTTTTTTGAATATATTTCATTGTTATAGACGATACAGGGTGACCCTAATTTGAGAGTTTCTTCACTGGTATGGTGTAGTTCGGGTTCCAGTGGCTTAGCGGCCGGTAGATTGTTTTCATCAAGCATTGATGGATCAGTCTCGGAGTGGGACTTATTCAACTTGACACAGAAGGTTTGTCTAAATTTTGTAATGCAGTCCGTATTTACGCATTTAGCTGGTAGGGGAATAATATCATATTTTGTGCAATGAAAATTATATTTATGAGATTTAGTGAGCATATCTGCTGGTCCCTGCTGCAAATAACTACTTGGAAAAGGAATTGCTTGAATGGCGAGTTTTATTGTGGTGTCTTGGAACCTTGGCTAAAGCTGTTTTGCTAATGCAGTAACCAATATTTAAGCTGTTAATAATCGGCAGCAACTGGCTGAAACTGCAAAACGTATGAGAATCACACTTTGTTGATGTTACCTTATTGTTTGGAATTGAAGCCTTGCCTTACTCAGACTGATGCATTTATAAAATGACAAAAACATTTTTCATGGAGCCATTTGTGGTTTTTGTTTTGGTGAATGGCAGTTTGTTTCAAGATTCGGTTCCTACACTCCATTCCCATATCCCTGTTGGCTCTATTACTTGATAACTGTTTCCTTTAAGTTAATTTTTTTTATAAAATCTGATTTTTCTAGTTTATCTAATGGCAGGTTGTGCTTGATCCTATTGGTGTATCCATCTGGCAGATGGCTACTCATCATTGGTGTAAGCTGCAGGTCAATACAAAACAGGATTTGGCTTATGTAGAAAATGGACATGTCAGTGATAGAACTATTTGTGATGGTGATGCCACCAGTGACAGTGAGATCGAAGTCGACTCACTCGAGTTATATGAGGATCCATTTACTGACAACACAAGTTTAGCAATTGCTTGCGATGACGGCTATGTGCGAATATATAATATCTCAGACTCCGATGAGTTCACTTACCATAAATCTTTGCCAAGGGTCAGTGGTGAGATAGCTGCCTCCTGTTCTGGGCACTACACTTTGTAGTTGATTATTCTTGTCACTTACTGTACTTCCTCATTCTCTATGCAGGGCGTGTGTTAAGTGTCACCTGGAGTCCAGATGGAAAATTGATATATTCAGGGAGTAGTGATGGGTATGTACTTGTAGTCAACTTTTGCAAATTCGCTTGCAATTTATCATGATGCTTTTTGTAAGCGATATGCAGCTGTTACTAATTTTTATATATTGATATTCAATTAATTTAAATGTCTGATTTTCATTACTACCATAGCAAGTAAATCATTAATTGTTGGCTTTTATGACAAGTTCAGGATCATAAGATGCTGGGATGCTAAATCGTTGCATGAAGTACACAGGATCACTGTTGGTCTTGGAGGTTTAGGTGGTGTGTCTGAACTTTGTGTATGGTCTTTACTTGCACTGAGGTAAATGGGGATTTTTGTGTGAGTGGTCACTGTTAATTATACGAGGTTTAGCTTAGTAAATCTGTTTTTATATTTGTCGTTTCAGGTGCGGGACCCTTGTGAGTGCAGATAGTAGTGGCAGTGTTCAGTTTTGGGACAGTTTACATGGAACTCTCTTGCAAGCACATTCCTGTCATAAGGGTGATGTTAATGCTTTGGCAGCTAGTCCTAGCCATACAAGGGTGTTTTCTGCTGGATCAGATGGGCAGGTACTGAATATCA